TAGAAAGCATAAACCCCTTTTCATGAAAATCCATCCACAATATCAACATGTTATGTTTTTTTATTATGTTTAAAATTAATTTTGAACTCTATCGACGAAGGAGCACTGATAATAAGACTAAATTAATTCATATACTAAATTTTCTTTTGTTGTTTTCTTTGGTATTTGGAGATATGGATTTTCTTAATTCAATTCCAATCAAATAATTCTAGAAAAGTTTAATTAGGTTGGATGGTAAGGCTAGACAAGCAGGGGTAATATAAAATAAATTTAATTGAAGATAGGTTTGAAAACATTTTATCTTTAATGGGATAAAATCTAAGTTAAGCATATTTTACAAGATATGACATGGTTATGAATAAGTGATCAACAAGCGAGAGTAATTTTGTAATGACAAACTGAATTTCTGAAAAGCTCATTTCATGGTGTAATTAAAGTTATTTTTTAAATGATTTTATGTTAAAATATATATTAATAACTTTTTTATTTTAAAAAATTATTTTCAATATTAACATATCAAAATAATTTAAAAATACTAAAAATATATTAATTTAAAGTTAATAAAAAATATAAAAATTTTAATTTTTTTAAAATACTTTTGAAATATAAAAATGAATAGACCTGATATTATTATTTTTCCAAATTATTACCAGCGTGTTCATGTTAAAATATATATTAATAATTAGGTTGAATGGTAAGGCTAGACGAATAGGTGTGATATAAAATAAATTTAATTGAAAATAGAGTTGAAAATATTTTGTCTTTAATGGGATAAAATCTAAGTTAAGCATATTTTACAAGATATGACATGGTTACGAATAAGTGATGAACAAGCGGAGAGCAATTTTGTGATGATAAACTGAAGTTCTGAAAAGCTTATTTTATAAGTGATTGGAGTTGTTTTTTAAATAATTTTTTATGTGAAAATATATATTAATAATTTTTTTTATTTTTTAAAAATTATTTTTAATATTAATATATCAAAATAATTTAAAAACATTAAAAATATATTAATTTAAAGTTAATAATAAATAAATAAAATTTAATTTTTTTAGAAATATTTTTGAAACGTAGAAACAAACATGCCCAATATTACCAGTTTCTCAGATTACTATGATGTGTTTGGGTCTCAAAATTTTTTTAAATAATTTTTTTATATATAATTTTAAATTATTTTGATATGTTAAAAATATTTTTTTTATTTTGATTCATTTTTAAGTGAAAAATACTTTGAACAACCATCATTACTGCAATCTCAATCATGCCCTTAATGATACATGCAAGGAATCAATAGTTAAATTCAAATTTTAGTTTAATGTTATATATAATTCTATGTTATTAAATATAACTTTTAACTTGATTGTTTGATCAGGTTAAAACCAAGTGTTTTTAGACGTATTGTTGTATATAAAATTAAAATTTTAGATTAATCAAAGTTTGAGAAGATATCAAAAAATAAAATAAAAAACATAAAAAATATTAGTATCAATATAGGTTAAAATTTCATATCCATGACTCGATTTATGAGATCAGGATAACTACATTGAAAATATAAATAAAACCCAATTATAAACAAATTAAACATTAAATAATAAAATTGAAAAAAAATCAATTTAAAAAACAAGACCAAGGAAAAAAACATTTAAAAGAATAAAATGTCCCATTTGATACAAAAACAAATTAAATCAAATGATAAAAAATGTAATTAAAAAATAAATATTTTAAAAATAAAAATTAAAACAATGAGGACTAGATTTTATATAAGTACAAAATAGGATAAAATATCAAAGAATAAAATTAAAAAAATAAATAAAAATAAATAAAAAAATAATTAAAAAAATGAGCGCCACAATTAAAATCGAAAGAAAATAGAGGACAATAATGTCGGCTTGGCCAATACTTTTTTTTTAAGAGAAGAGAGAAAAAAAAAATCCAACTATGGTTTAACAACAAAGAAACACCTTATACACATTGCTTCTATGGATATGCCTCCATGTGAATCAACATCAAAGCCGATAACTACCCGTTTTGGATGCCGGGAAGTGCCGCCCAAAAGGTGCATGCACTACAAGAGTTAATAACTATTTTATTATTATTTAATTTATCAAAAGATCCAATTGCTCCAATTGCATATGATAAATGCCATAACTAACAAATAAATTAAAAAAAGCATTTTGATTTAAGCTATGGATTGTTTTTTCTTTCAAAGATATCTTAGTAATTACATTACGCTGAAAAGATAAAAAACTGAAAATATTCCTGCCCAAACAGTTAAGCATATTTATCTTTTAAGAGTATTTGTAACATTGTTTGGTGCAAATAAAAAATTAAAAGATCATCATACCTTCACTATGATAAATGAGTATAATGGAAAAACAATTTTGCCCGAAGCAAGTTATATGGTTTAAATTATGAAGGGTAAAAGGATAATTTTACTATGAAAATCCATGTAAATAAATTTCTAATCTTCTTAGATTTTGTTTGAATTCGAGCCATAGACAGAACCGTCCCTGCATTTGTTTTTCTGTTGACTGGAGAGACAGTTTATCTCTCATGCAGGGTAGGCTGTTCGTTACCTCCAACTTCGAAGAAGAAACTTCAATTTATTTTCTTCATGCACGCCATTTGACAGCCGTAGCTATGAAATCCCATGGTCAAAGACTAAAGCAAGCCACCCCGTTGAAATTCCACAGTCACATCCCAAGCCAACGTAGCCAAGCGACACCGTATTGCCACAAAATGAAAGCAAAGGCTCCAGCCTCTCAGCCAGGCGCGCGAAGCAGAACGAATATTGCGCCAACCCTGCCTCGACAACCCAAACCCAAATGAAGCCAAACCAAATTCCGAACCAAGCCAGCGGAGCAACATCTCACATGATGACTAAATAAATCCCAAGGCTGCGCAACTCACTCGACTATGCCAAGCTGAAGAGACCCTGCGCCGTTCGGATAAAACGTTTGAGGAACTGTGCGTTTACGCTACCCGTTTTAGCTTTTTTTTTTTAAATTTTTTTTAAGAAATAAAAAAGTGGGCGAAAAAAAAGACGGAAGGTAAAAACCAAGTTACGCACGTGGGGAAGTTGTCACGTGCAAAGGGAATCCAAAGCACTCACACACGCCTGTCTCGGTTCCCATATGGGAATCCCGTCGCACCCCCATTACATTTTCCCATTTCATTTCATTCCGTTCCCCCATTTTCTTTCTAACTGATAAAAATAAATTAAAATAAATAGCAGCAGCAGAAAGAGAAGTCGTAGTAGCAGGGTGAGACCTCGCATCAAAACGAGAACACATTCACGAGAAACAAAAAAGAAACAATGTGGAGAAGACTGGCCTCTTCACACCTCAGAACCCTAGTCACCACCACTACCACCTCCGCGCGATCCACTCAATCCCGTCTCCTCAGTCGATCAATCATCAATCCATCTCCTTCCACTTCTCTTTTCAATCGCTATTTTAGCGCCGACTCAGGTCATCTAACTCTCTCTCTCTCGACTGTCTAGCCTAGTCTATTATAATCTCCTCTCAGATCTTCACCTACACACAATTACAACAACACTATTCCCTTGTGATTGTGGTTTTTGAGGGGGGTATTTGATTTATTTTATTTTATTTAGGTATGTGCTAGGGAGATGAGATTTATTTTAAATCTTTGAATTATTTTAAATTTAATTTAATTTCTATGCCTGCTATTGGACTGAGTTGGAATAGATTTCCGATAAATGATTCTGCTGTTTAATGCTGAATAATTTATGTTACCTGCGTCATTTATGGTGTGCGCATGCGCTTGTGGAAATTGAAATCAAATAATAAATTATGAAGAACTGCTTTGTTTTGTAGTGGATGGTGCCGTGAAGAAGAGAGTTGAGGTTGTGATGCCTATTGCTACTGGACATGAGCGGGAGGAGCTAGAAGCTGAGCTTCAGGTGATCTCCCCCCCCCCC